GAAAGAACTGCGGTTTCAACCTGACAGCTTGGAGCCCCAGGCAGAGGACAGGAGGTTCCCGCACGACAGTAGCGCTGCCCTCCCGGCTCCGCCGCGCAGCCCGCAGAGCCCTGCACCTCCGCCGGCTGGCGCCCAAAAGCTCCCAGGAGCGGTTGGGTGGTGCAGCCAGTGCCGGGAGCTGAGGCTGGGATTTGGGGTGGGGAAGATCGGAGGCGGTTTTCTTTCAGGTCCGAGGACGAAGCTTGTGAGCCCTGTGCACACCTCCCTGCTCCTTACGCAATTTGAGTGCTGCTCCAAGCGCAAAGTACTCCTCCCAGCGGTCTCCGGTGTCTTTCGGGGTGGGGTGGGGAATGTAACTTATCCCATCGGCGTTCGTGGCCTTCGCCACCTGCACACCGAAATCTGGCAGCTTGTAGCCATCGAAGAACTACTGCGTTTCCCTGGCGCACTGCTGCTTGCCCCCTGAGCTCTTGGTAACCAGGTTGTAAGCCCAGACTCAATGGTGAGGCTTAGCGCCTCAGAGGCTCGACCCATGCTGGGTACCCTCGAGAGCCAGGAACCCTAGCTTTTGTTCTCCTTAACCACTGAGTTGTCTATAAAGTGAAATGGGACTGGGGGGGCGGGAGCGGGGAGGGAGTCAGCAAGACCTAGAAGGCGGAAGGCTAAATTGGATCCGAAAACTCTAGAAGCATGCTGAACTACACATTCAGCGCTACAACATCCCTCAGAAAGGTCATGGATGTGAACGTGAAGTATCGACTTATTCGTGTTCAAGTCCTTTTGGTTTACTCACACTAGTAGATAGAAAGGTAATCCGTGGCGGAAACAGCAGGGTCTCGCGCTGGGGAGCCGGGCGGGAGGCGCACGCCTCAGGGCCTCTCCGTTGACCTCGAATCTGTAGCGGGATTTTCCCAGGGTCACCCTGCCATCCCCCCACTCAGTGCCTGCGCTCCTGCTGGTGTCTGAGAGACCACTCTCCTTCCAGTCTGCTCCTGGGGTCGGAGGGGTGCGTTCTGGACTGTCCGTGCCCCCTTTTCAGCTGCAGCGTTGCACTCTGCTGGAAGAACCTGGCCCGGAAAAGGTGGGGGTAGTACCGCCTTTCCCCCATGAGCCCCAGGCCAAAAACCCAGCGAGTAGCTGCAGCAACCTTGCCTCTGTGGCCCAGACCTCAGGTTGAATGACGAGTCTGCTGGGTGTCCCCCAGAGGTTTTCTCGAGGTCCCCACATCAGCAGTGGGTGTGTTTCCATTATGCACTTTCAGCGAGTTTACACAAGAAAAAAAGTGGTCTCCTAGTACGAAGACTCCCGAGTCAGATATCTCATCTGCCTAGCGGTCAAAGGGACTGGGAGAAGCTGACCGTACCCCAAAACCCTGGAGGCTCCATTAGGAATGAGGTGGGGGGCAGTTGTGGACACTAGCAATGCAAAAGGATTGGGCAAGCCTTGTCCCCTAGAAGATACAACGGCCAATGAAGAAAGGATGAGGGCAGGCCAGTATGGTCCTGGAAGGATGGAGACAGCAGGCTCCCATAAACTCCCAACCTCTACCAAGGTCTTTGAATTCTAGAACGAACCCAAAATATTTCCTAGAACTTCTAGAGGGATAAAACCACAAAAGTGGGGGGCGGGGGGGCTGTGCCTGGGTGGCTCAGTGGGTTAAGCCTCTGCCTTCTGCTCAGGTCATGATCCCAGGGTCCTGGGCTCTCTGCTCAGCAGGGAGCCTACTTCCTCCTCTCTCTGCTTGCCTCTCTGCATACTTGTGATCTCTCTGTCAAATAAACAAATAAAATCTTAAAAAAAAAAAAAAAACAAAAGAATGCCTCTAGGACCAATGGCCTGGAAACCCATGTCCCAGGGACCCTCTATGGGAAAGTGCAAAGTGGGGGACAAGGAGCAGTCCCACAACAGCGCATCTGACACTCCCCCCACCAGGAGACTAGGCAAGTTCAAATGAGCCTATCCCTTTGTGCAAAGAGGGCACCACATGCTCCCAACAGGGGGCATCTTCTCCCCCACAGGACCCCTCAGTGTAATGGAGGATGCCCAGTGGTAGAGGAGAGGTGGTGGTGCATGGGGCCAGTGAAGCCCAGGCCAGCAGTAGGTCAGGAGCTGAAAACAAGGCATGGAAGACCTGTTCTCCAGCTGTTCACCAAGGCTCAGAGTAAGTACCCTGCTATATGCTCTACAACAACAGAGAAAGGAGGGGTACCTGACTCAAAGAATGTCATTTCTACCCCGGACCTTCAGTGTTCCTCTGTGACATGGGAACAATGATTCCATCCATGTCTGACAAGAGTTACCTCAAGGCTTCTCTGGGAGGACACGGTGGGACTCTGTGACCACATAAAGTGCCGCAGCCAGAGATGATGGGCAGAGTATTCAAAGGGAGAATGTCTTGGCAATGGGACTGGAGTGTAGGAGGCCAGAGCAGAAACCCTGAGCTCCCCTACTACCCGCAATCTTCTCTAGTTCCCTGGAGAGTAAAGGACTCCCCAGGCCAATGGAGAAAACCAAAAGTAGAAAAGGGGAAGGAGAGTGCTCTGAGCCTGAGGAGGGAGTGTGGCCACACAGTGGTGTTCCCCTAAACTCAGTGTAAGTGCCCCCTCTACCCTTCTCAGATCACTGTGGAGGGGGATGTCCCTCTGCTCTGAACTGTAGACAAATGTGTCCCATTCTCTAGGATACTGTCTCTGTCTCCCTGACTTTAGACCAAAATGAGGAAATCACTAGGATATTATGATTTGGTGACCAGATCATATGGCCAAACCCAGTTTTGTGTCTGGATTATCAGATTTAATATTTCAAGTCTTTATTTTATTCTCCAAATGCAGTTGTAAGTTCGGCCTGTCTGGTTCCCTCACTCTTGCTCTCTCTCCTTGCTCATTGCCTCTGATCTTTTCTCCCACATACACATACAGCCCCCTTGTTTTCCAGTTAAAGAGAAACTGGAGTCATATTTCCTTCCAGGAAGTTGCCATTTTCCAGATCTCAGCTGACCTAGACTTTAGGTTATTAATGGAGGTTCTCATAGATAACATAATACAACAAATTTGCCACCATGAAAAAGCCCAGAGGATATGCTTAGAGTGGGAACAAAGGAGCAGAGAGAAGGCAAAACTAGGGCAATTGTCTCTTTTATATTTCATTTTCAGAGGGGAAAATTTTTATATCAGGCCAAAGCAGCTACCACTGTGCTGACAAAAAGACTTGGAATTTGGAGTTAAGACACCAAAAGGCAATACTGGTTAAATATCTAGAGTTTAGTTTTGTAACTAGGGTCCACAAAACAGCAGGCTGAGCCCAGCTGTTATACAAGGCTGTCCCTCCGTGGTGAGCCCCACTTCCCAAAGCATTTCTAAGGAGTTCACCAGGCTCCATCAAGGGCCCTTCCTCAACCGAAAAGCAGGCTGGGAACTAAATCCTGGCAGATTTGAAGGTGGATTACCTTCCTCATCATTCCGCAGAGAGTGAACTGTGTGGATGCTGGAGTTTTAATTACACACTTGCTTTTTCGGGGGAAGAAGACCAACATCATATTTTTCAAAGTATCAACTTGTTTTCCATTAGGCAGTTGTTGAAACAAGTTCTTTCAGCGACATGTTATGTCTTTAGGAAGGGGTGCTTCAGATGGTGCGCACTAGCACAATTTTGTGGCTTTTAATTACTATTTTGCTCTTTTGGGGGGTTTCAGAGACTGGCGCCTCAGCGTGATTAGACCGTCTAGTGGGCCCGCTGCAACCAGGCACACCCCCAGCAGGTGGCGCCACAAGGCCAGCACTGCCGCGGGAACTGTAGACTTCGGGAGTCCAATAAAGGTGAGCGTCCCTCAACTCCCGGCCACGGTCCCCAGCCAGCAGGAAACACTGCTATGGGGAAAGTCGCCACTTCAGATTTAAGAGGAAATTGCAATGATAGGAAGAAACGGGGTCCTAACTGAATGAACTGTAAAATAGGGTTAAGTGCTTGAGAAAAAAACTTTTTCTATTTGTTTCTGTAAATTCACCCAGACTTGTAGTATCGAGACGCCTCCCCCCCCTAAGAATTATCCTTTGTCGTAAATATACAGAATTTAGAATTAGAACGAACTTTGAAGGCCGTCTGGTCAATCTGGTCTAGCATTCCAACCTGGAGAGGAAATTCCCGGGGTCGCTTTGTGCCTGTCAGTTCACCATCAAATCTACATAATTGCTCGAAGTCTCGTCCTATCAGGAAAGTACGAGGGAAAATGGTTTCAAATATATCGTTAGTGATAATATTTTTGAATTTATATAGCTTTTCACGGAAGCAACAAGAAAATAATCGTTCAAACATTATCTCATTAATTATCTAATATTCCTGCGGGTCGGTTAGCAAGTATGTGGAAGTAGGGATTATTATACGTGGTTTATGGATCATTTAAATCAATTGACTTCAAGCGCCGAGTGACTGACAAGGGTAACCGCCAGACGCTTCGAGGAAAAGCGGAGCCAGACCTGGCTCGACTCTCGGCGCCGCTTTGATCCGTGTTTGAGCGCGGACCTCGGACAGGAGCACACGAATCGCGGGAACTGGTGGGCGCTTGTGCACAGAACGGGATGGAAGACGCCCTGTCTTCCTCCCCCGAGCCGGTCCCCGTCCTCACGCCTCCCGTCCTGCGGCTGCCGGCCCCCCTGACTCCCCACCGCGCCCCTTCCCCAATCCCTCGCCTCGCTGCTCCCATTCAGCCGCGGCCTGTCTGCGCCCGCAACCGCAGCAGCCGCAGCGCCGGCCCGGTGACACCAGCCCCCAGGCCGGGCGTACCCCGGCGCCCGGAGCCTCGCGGCCCGGCGCTTGGGATTGGCTGTTGCTAGGTGACGTCCCGGCGCTCACGTGACGACTGTTAAATGCCCACCCTGCCCGAACCCGCCCCGCAGACAATCGTAAGGCCGCTCTGGGCTGCTCACCTGCTCCCGCCTCTTGGAGCCCCGGCCTGGCCCCGCCACCCCTGCCCCCTCCGCCGCCCGCCCCCCGCCCGAGCCGGCGCTGGGCAAGAAGCCGAGCGGGTTAGAGAGGCGGAGAGAGGATGCGGCCGTCGGCAGCTGTCCCGAGCAGTGCTCGGTGATCGCCTCCCCCGGAGGAGGAGTTGCCCAGACCGTTGCCACATTTCTTGTTTTCCTCCCCACCCTCCCTCACCCCCCGTAATTACATTGGCTGCTGGAGGGGACAGGGAGAGACGGAGGAGGCGCCTCGCTTCCCCGCTAGCGCCCGCCACCCCTGCTCCTTCCCGTCCCGGGCCAGGATGACTGGAGTCTTTGACAGTCTGGTGGCTGATATGCACTCGACCCAGATCACGGCCTCCAGCACGTACCACCAGCACCAGCAGCCCCCAAGCGGCGGCGGCGCTGGCCCCGGCGGCAGCAACGGCAGCAGCCTCCACAAGCCCCAGGAGTCGCCCACACTGCCGGTATCCACAGCTACCGATAGCAGCTACTACACCAACCAGCAGCACCCGGCGGGCGGCGGCGGCAGTGGGGGCTCGCCCTACGCGCACATGGGCTCCTACCAGTACCACGCCGGCGGCCTCAACAACGTCCCTTATTCCGCCAAGAGCGGCTACGACCTGGGCTACACCGCCGCCTACACCTCCTACGCACCCTACGGGACCAGTTCTTCCCCGGCCAACAACGAACCTGGTATGCACAACGCTGGCGTCAAGGGTGACGAGTCAGTCTAGTTCCTGGGATGGGTGGGAGAAAATTGTTTGGGGCGGGGATCTATCCGGAACCCTTGCCGTTTACTCTGCCTGCTCCCTCCCTGCCCGCCCTGCGCCTATTACCCTTCTCAACCGCCAGTCTGCCGAGGGTCACTGGGTAGGTGCCTCGGGGCTCGGCTGGTGGGACCGGGTGGCCTAAGGGGGCCGAGTGGGCGCGCGGTGCATGCTTCATGGCAACTCATTTCCTTACCACCTGCTCCTTCTTTCTCTCCGGTTGGCTCCTTCTTCCCCTTCCTGGAGAATCCAGCTCCCAGGTTCCACGGCGGTGCGAGTCCGCACTTAGCGAAGTGGAGTCTGAGCGCGCTGCTCGTGTCCAAGAAGCCGCTCCCCGGCTCAGGCCAAGTCCCAGGCCAGGCGCTTACGCCCAGCGGGAAGTCTTTGGGGCTCCCCGGTTGTGCTGTTCTCACGGTTGCGTTGCGTTGCAGAGAAAGAGGACCTCGAGCCTGAAATTCGGATAGTGAATGGGAAGCCAAAGAAAGTCCGGAAACCCCGCACCATCTACTCCAGTTTCCAGCTGGCGGCTCTTCAGAGGCGTTTCCAAAAGACTCAGTACCTGGCACTCCCCGAGCGAGCGGAGCTGGCGGCGTCTCTGGGCCTCACCCAGACTCAGGTAAGGGCTCCCGGCCTGGAGCGGAACGAGGTGCGCGCGGGCCTGGGATGGCTGCGAAGCAGGCGGGGTCAGCACAACGTTTTAAAAAAGTGTTTTCTAAAGTAATTTTAAAGATTACGAGGCCCGTGCTTTGGGCGGCCTAAACTTCTACTCCTGAAGCTGAAATCCCCGAGGGCGGGGGAACGCCGCGTGTGAGAAAACGAAAGGACGGGGTGGGCAGAAAGCCGCTTTCGCACTCTTACCGCGCCGTACTGATTAAGCGGGTAAAATCATTGGTCCTCCTGACCCTTCCCCGCTGTCACCACCACCACGGTGCACCCACACCAGCTGTCTCCGATTTTCTGAGATTGCCTCCCAATAGAGTGGGAGCCATCCCAGCCTCCGAGGCCTCGGCACGTGATCCGCTCACCTGCCCCGCGTGCTTTCCACGCTCCTCCCCTCCCCCAGATCCAGGTTCTTCCATTAACGCTCGGGTCCCTTTTCCACAAAGGTCAAAATCTGGTTCCAGAACCGCCGGTCCAAGTTCAAGAAGATGTGGAAAAGCGGGGAGATCCCTACGGAACAGCACCCGGGGGCCAGCACCTCGCCACCTTGTGCTTCGCCGCCCGTGTCGGCGCCGGCCTCCTGGGACTTCAGCGCGCCGCAGCGGATGGGGAGCGGTGGCGGCCCCGGCAGCGGCGGCAGCGGCGCCGGCAGCTCGGGCTCCAGCCCGAGCAGCGCGGCCTCGGCCTTCCTGGGAAACTACCCGTGGTACCACCAGGCCTCGGGCCCTGCCTCACACCTGCAGGCCGCCGCGCCCCTGCTGCACCCAACGCAGACCCCGCAGCCACACCATCACCACCACCACCACCACCACCACCACCACGGCGGCGGGGGCGCCCCGGTGAGCGCGGGGACGATTTTCTAACCCGAGGGACACTACGCAGGAGACTGAGAGAGCAGAGATCGGTGATCTTCAGTGCTCGCCCGGAGAGCCAGAGGGTCCCTCCAGCTGGCCCGCGGACGCCTCCCACCCTCTTGGGAGGTGGGCCCTGCTCCCGCCGGCCCTGCTCCCCCGCGCTGCCACTGAGCGGCGGGGAACTGGAAGGTTCTTCGAGGCCCCCGGCAGGGCCGCCTGCCTTGGCCGCCTTTCCGACCTGAGCCCCGCCTCAGACATGCCTCTCCTCCCCTCCGCGACCCAAGAGGCAGTCGGGCGCCTTCCTTGCCGCGGGCCAGAAGCTGAGTCCGGGGGGAGGGACTCCTCCTCCGCCCGCGAAGCTTCCAGGGTGCTCTGAGGCTCCTTTCTCCGTGCCGGCCCCCAGGCCCAGCTCCAGCGCTGGCCTGATTGACCTCCCCGGCCTGCGCGCCCTCCCCACTCGCCCCGGTGACCTGGGCGGCCCGCCGCTTTTTTTTCTGCCCTGCTGTCCCAAGTCCTTGGAGCCCCCCTCTGCCCTGCCTTAGATCCCGCCCCCTCCCCCAGGAACGCTCCCTTAGCTCTTTCCTCATCCATCACCTTTGGAGTTTTTTTATTTTTATTTTTTTAAAAGTTTAGGTGCCTTTGCGGATGACCTCATTTTGATGTTGGGGAAAAAATGATTTTTTAATATGTGGACACTGCAAAAAATGTGTTTAAATTATCTTTTTTAAAACCTATTCAGGATTGTTAGGCTGGACTTCGACATAGAGTTTGTAAATAAAGGTGTCTGTGCAGATTTTCCCACTGATTTATTTGTATAAAAATACTCGTCTTTTCAGACTTTTTTGTAAACCCCCCCCCCTTGTGAAAACTGCGGTTTAGCAGTGACCTCAGCAAGCCCTCCATTTTATTTTTCCCTTTGAAAATTTTCTCAGTTTAACTAAGCTACTGATTGGGTTTTATTTTATCTTATCCTAAAGTCTTTGTTCTTGAAATGAAAGATATTTTGGGGTTATTTATTATGAAAACAACATGCTCTTAATGTTGATTTTACAATATGAAGAGATTATTTAAATAAATTATTGTTTTCATTGGATGTGTGCGCTTTTTCCTTGGTGTCATCACCTGGAGCCTCGAGCTCCCTGCCCGGGCGGGGAAACTGGCCGGCGGAGAAAGTGACGTTTCCATCTTTCAGAGGCTTCGAGAGCGGTGAGGCGAGGCGAGAACAGGCGCGCTTGGCATGGGCCTCCCCGAAATGTTCACTCTCTGCGGGCACTCGAGTCTTGGCGCGGGGTTTGCCCTCTCGAGGCGCGGTGAGTCACCCTGCGCCCTGGCGGCTGCAGCCTCCGCCCGCCGGGCCCCTCCAGCGCCGGCGCCACCGCCCCGCGCCTGGGCGGTCTCTGCCGCCCCCGCACTGGTGGTGCAGGCCGGGCAGAGCTTCCGAGCCGCCGCGGGGGACCTGCAGTCGCAGCCTGAGCGTGCAGAAGCCGGGGTCAGACCCCTACCTTGGACCCTCCCCTCAGCTTGCCCCGTGGCCCTGCTGCGGCTGCCAGAGCTTAGAACTCAGTGAGTCACCCTGGCCCTCGGGAAACTCGGTTGGCTGCTCTGGAATGTAGGGTGACCCCGGCACACAGGGCTGCGCTAACACACATTCAATCACACACTGTGACTCTTAAAGTCACATCTATACTATCACACACTCTAGTATGCACACAGTCACACTCCTACTGAGTCACACACGCACACCACTGACAAAAATTAATGCACGTGCACCTTCACCTACACGGATACACAAACCCACACAAGCACACTCACGCACACAGGCACATTCACATAGAGACTGAGGCACATTGCTGTGAGAGTGGCACCCTTCCATCTCGCATTCTCTGAGGGGAAATGTGCACACACCATTCAGCTCTGCTTTCCACCTTGGGTCCCACCCACCCAGCTTCCACTGTGGGAAGTGACCCACTTCCTTTCTGCCATTCTCTGCAAAGGCCAAGGGTAGGTGGGTAATACAGGCCTGAACTAAAAGTCCCTTTCCTTCAAAGCACTGAGGCCTACAATGGAAGCATTTTAGGTTTAATCATTGACTCTGTGATTCGGGTCTACCCGCCTTAACCTCTCTGTGCTGCAGTTTGCATATCTATACGACTGGAGAAATAAAAACAGCTATCTCGGAGTTTTTGTGAGCATAAAATGAGGTAATGAGGTAACACGGTGCCCGGCACATAGTAAGCACTCATTTTTGCTGTTAGTAGTGTATTGTTTGATCCCAATGCCCCCAAACAGGGAGGCTTTACTTGTGCCTTGTGTGTACTTGTGTGATTATGAGGTTCAGACTGACCCAGAAGCCTTTCCAGCTTTGCCTCATGTGGAAAAGCAGCACTCTAGAGCTGAGAGAGCTCAGCTCTGGCCCCTTCTTACATGAGAACCTTTGAAGGGGCCAGCCTCTACAGGAGAGGAAATTAGGGGCAGGCCAGAGAGCCCTGCTAGCCAGATCCAGGCCTCCTCTAGGATGGCTATTCAGGCCATCCCTGTGTGTCTTCAGATCACCTCTGCCAGAAAGCAGACATGAGAGGGGGGTGACTTTCTATATTCAGTGCCATCATCCTGAGACAAATCCTACCTTTTCTGGCCAGTTTTGGGGCCTGCGTGGAGTCTAGCTTACAACAGAGTGTGGCCAGGAGAGGGACTCTGGGAAAAACAGGGAAGCTACAAATCCAGTGGCCATTCCCATTCCTGCATTGTTTTCCCAGGCTAGGAAGGCTGGAGCTAAAGCTCATTGACCCTGTGATTCCAACTTCTCTAAGCAGCCTCTGCCTAGCAGACCCCATTCCTGCTCTCCCTCCCCCCAGCTCCAAATTCCGTGGTTTTCTTTGAGTGCCAGTAGCTGGTGCCAGCCTTCCTCCTGCGGTTGAATATGCCCTCCCCTCCTTTGCGCGCACTCCCCTCCCCCTCCAGAAACCAGCGAGGAGAGACAGGGCAGTAAATTGGCTGGTGTCGAGGATCTGCAGCAGACAAGATGATTAAGAGGCCTACGCCGGAGCGCCCGGGGCAGGGAATGTCAGCCCAAGTTGGAATCACGCAACAGGCCTTGGCATGAGCGAGCCTGGGAGCCGGGAGGGCGGGCGGCCCCAGCTCCGGGGTGGGCCGAGGCCCCACAGACTCGCTGGAGTCACCGAACCTGGCACCCGGCGGCGGCGGGGTCGCGCCAGGCCACGGCGCGTCTTTCCCCGGGAAGCCCGCGAAGCAGAGAGCAGGAGGGTGCAGGGGCCAGAGGAAGGGGGCGTTTCCGCAGACCGGGAGAAGGGCAAAGAGACGGGGAAGCGAGGATGCGCCCAGGTCTCAGAAGTGAGGGGGCGGGGAGGGGGTGGGGTGAGCGAGGGGACAAACAAAGCCCGGCTGGGGGAGGAAGGGGACGGCTCCAGCCCCGCCGGGGGCAACGAGCTGGCAAGTCTTTCTCACAGTCTCACGGCTCGCGGAGAGACGCGGAGCCCTGTGATCAGCCCGCCGCGGAGCAGACACGCTCCCCCCGCGCGGGACTGCGCTCCCCAAAGCGCGAATGAAAAATGGAAATGGGAAGCCGCGATCTCGGCTCCCTACACTGGGAAACCAGTCGCGCTCGGAACACACATAAATCTTCATTGTAATCCCCTTCCATTTGCTCGCGTGAAATATCAGGCCAGAGACAGGATATGACAAGCGCTGGGAAGCAGGGGGAGGGAAGCCGAAGAGTGAGGGATGCCGGGCCCTCTCTGCTCCACCCCCTGGCAGGGTTGCTCGGAACTCTGGCAGAGCGCTGGTATTGAGTTCCAATTCCCGGGGCTGGCAGCCGGGGCGCTCCCTCTTCCACTTCTCATCCCGTTCCCGCACCTCTGCCCCCCCCACCCCCCGCCAGGGCGCGCAGGCCACCCAGCCCCGGGTGCTCCTCTGGGTGTAGACACACCCCCCTCCCGCTGCCCCGAATTCCAGCCGCCCGCCCCGCGGCTCCCGGGCTAGGGAGAGCAGAGAAGAAAGGGAACGGATCCCGGGCCTAATCAGCGCGGCTGCAATGTGGGACCGTTTAAGAGGCTTCCCCTCGGCTTTCTTTCAGGATTACTTGTGAAAATTGTGAATATCCGTCCTGTGTAAGAATTTCCGAGACTGGTGGGGCGAGTTTGGGGGAAGTATCAGGTTTGATGGGGGCGGAGAGTACGCTGCAAAACTGGGTCTTTGTTTACAAACACTTCTGCGGTCGAAGGGGAGAGGAGAGAAAGAGGGGTAAAGGGAGGAGTGCAAATGTGGTGGAATGGTCCCCTCCAGTGTTAGAAGCCCCCTCGAAGGGGAACACGATACTGGGGACCAGAAATCCCCCTTGCCTTTCAAAAAAAAAAAAAAAAAAGTCGTGCTCCCTGACGGTAAAACCCAGGAACAACTCCCCTACTCCCACACAGCCCACCCCCGAGTTCCCCATCCCAACACTAGCTCAAAAGTCAAAAGCCGGCTCCTTTCCCTCCAAGGAACAGCGACCACCAGTGCCTTAAATCTGTTGAGGATCAGACACCTCCTTGAAAATGAAGCTACAGATCTCTTTCCTCCTAAAACGCCTCCCTTGCATTCGCTTTTGGGGTCCCCAGAAGCGAGGGGGTGGGGCGCGATCCTAAGGTTCCAGTTACGCGAGCCCCTGGCCCTGTCGGACCAGGCTTTCCGGAGACTGGCGCGCTCTGTCGGGGTCATGACACCCAAAACAGCCCCAGAGAAGCCTCCCTTTGCCGGGACCTCCTTCCCCATTGGGATCTGCCCCGCGCTCTTTTCCTGCTGCCCCGCCCCCTCCCCCCCTAGACACACCAGCGGGGGCGGATGCGGAGGCCCCACTGCGCACCGAGGCCCCCCTGGCAGGAGTTCCCCTCGCAGGGACGGCTTTGGCAGTGATTGCCACATTACAAGATGTTACATTCCGCCCTGGGGCCTGGGGCCCGGCGGGGCGGGGGAGACAATATGTTTCTGAAAAGAAAGAGCAGGCAGGTCTTGGAAGAGCAGCCACTCGGAGCCTCCACGTGAGAACACAGGCACAGTCTCTGGAGACCTTTCTTGCAGGGGCCGCCTCCTGCTCCGACTCCGACTGCTCGCTGGTCCTCAGGGTCGGGCCAGACCGCAAACACCACTGAGTCTTAGCGATTTGCGGGCAGTGGGGCTACGCTCCCGCGATTGTCCGGAGGCCGTTTGCAGGATTCTCGGCAGCCCTGGGGCCACCAGCTGCGTCCCGGGTCGGGTCCCACCAGAGAGAGGAGTTGGGGGGCGGGGGAGCGCGAGGATCAGGTGTGAAGCCCGGGAAGGTGGTGAAAAGCTGCGTGGGGCAAGCGGGGGCTGCAGGACAGAGGATTGGAATTTGGGGGACGGAGAAGAGGCGAGAGGGAGGGAAGGACTGGACTTGGAGAGCCCGGGGGTAATCCCAGAGGGCAGACTTGGGCCCCAACGGAGCAAACATGGCTTCCCACACTCCCGTTCCTGCCCTCCTTTTGGGGGTGCAGGAGTCTCAGACACCCTAGAAATTAAATCGTCGCTCACGGAACAATGGGGACTTCTGGCCCTGGAACTCCACCAAGTCTAGGATGCGCGGAGAGGTGGCCGCACACCGGGTGGATTCTCCCGCCCGCAGCCGCCGCGTTGCCCCCTCCTCTGGGGCAGCCCCCGCCCCGCCCCATCCCTCCAAGGCCCTGGCCTCAGCTTCTTAAAGTCGCAGGGTGTCTCAGCGCTCTAGAGAAGCGCCGCCCAAGTCGGGAATGAGTGTTTCTGGGGGGCGCTATCTCGGGACGGTATTGACCAAAGAAGGGCCTAGGGGACCGCGGGGCGGCCCCAACAACCTTCAGCTTCTTCCCTCCTCATTCCAAAGCCTCCAAATAGCAGGCTCCTATTCACACCAACTCCTCAATGCAAAGGCTGCTCCCGCACCCCACTCCCGCCTCTCGCCTCCCGCCCCCTGGCCTGCAAATTCCTGGGCCCAACCCGGCTGCTTTGTGAGGGGGGCTTGGGAGAATCCGGGAAAGGGGCCGAAGGAAGGAGGGTAGAAATAGGAATGAGAAAGGAACGAGTGTCGGGATGAGGGTGCGGGAGGTCCGGCTCAGTCACTTTCTTAATAGTTGCCGCATTTAGGGTGGGGGCCCGGGGCTTCCGTGGCATCCAAACCCGGAAAAGCAGGCATGCGGAGAAAGGATTCTCTTCTCGACATGTTCAAGGGGAGAACAGTGAAAATTTGCCTTAGGTGGCCAATTTTCTCATTTGCCCCTATTAAAAGAAAAAGCCCAAGAAATTCAATTAAAGCCACCCTGGCCAAGGCGCTATTTGAGGCATGAATGTCTCCCCTAAAGCTGCAGCAATCATGTGGCATTAGACACTTCCGGAATCCTATAGCCAACCTGAAAAATCCCAGACCCCCTTTTTCCCTAATTTTTGCTCTGATCTGTAATTTTATCCACATTTGCACTAGTTTGAGCATTCTGGCTCTCCCATCTGAAAGCCTGCAATTACTATATAATTCTTCGCAATTTCAGATGTCCTAATATGGACTGTAATTTTTGCGCAAGACAATTTCCTGCTATTTCAAGCATCAACATTGTCAAAGTTGTATGTACATAATAAATGGGAATATCAATGCATAGTTTTTAGCATAACATCTTGACTCCTCGATAATTATATCCGTTCGGAGCCTACGCAGAATTAGCCTGAATTGCATGGTAACTGCTGCTGCTTTAAAATTTTTAAAAATTACTCATAATTTTCCCAAAGATTACCAAGATCTCGAGTGCACAATGTCATCAGCGTAATGAAGAGTAAACATTTATGCTAATAATCTGCAATTTTTTTCATCAGCTATAAAGACAGAGGCTATATAGCCGAAAATTTCAGTCCTATTCTGCAAGCGCTGCGCTGCAAAAAGCCTGCGGCACTCGGAGGAGCCTGGTCCTGGAGACCTCTTTCCACTCTTTCCTCTCAGGATAGGAGGATGGGGCTGGGGGATTCTTTTTGGTTTTCTGGTTTTGTTTTGATCTGGTTTGGTCGGTTTTATATTTCCTATTTTTCTTTATTTTTCCTTTTTTTTTCCCTTTTTTGCCTTTTCTTTCCTGTCATTCTCCCAGCCAAATGCCGCCTTCGACCCTTTTGATTTGATCTAGCAAAGATTGTGTCCAGATTATCTGAAATTGACACTGAAGAAGGTAAGGGTGGAAACTGGTTTCATTTTTCAGAGGGTTGGAAGGCTGCGCTGCGCCCGCCGCGGTGGCTCCCGCTCCGGGAGTAGGAGGGTGGGGGAGTGATTATGTATGCACCAGCTAATTCTTCCATCAAAACTTCTTGTCAGCGATGTCAGGATTATTTTTTTTCCTTTTTATAAAAACACTTGATGTTTCAGGAAGTGTTAATCCCTGAAGGTTGGGGGATGAGGGCGGGGGGTAGCAAAGGAGTGGGTGTGGGTGACAGGTTTCTTGAGCCTGGGGAAGGCACCCTTTAGAGCCGTTTGCCTGTCTACACTGGAGTTGGGGGCTGCTGTGAAGCTGGGGACCGAAGGAGGGTTTCTTTGAGTCATGGGAGGGACAGACCCTTACCCACCATTCTGCATTTGATGGAGGTGCCTATGGCTTGTGCGGGATGAGGAGCAGAAAAGTTCGCTTTAGCCTGTGATTTCAGATGTTTAACCCAGGCGGTGGCTTGACAAAACCCAGATAATTCTGAAATCGGTTTTCAAAAGATACAGAATGAAAAAGATAGATAAGAGGATAATTAAAATATATATATAGCCGGGAACCTGCGTTGCTTCTTTCCTCTTAATTTTTCTTGGGATCAAGCATCTCAGGTTCCATATCCAGCACCCAGACCTACCTTTCCACAGGTGACAGAAATGGACAATTTCTTCAAGAGGAGCGATTTAGTTATTTCTCCATCAAATGATTCTAAGAATAAATTCATATTTCTGTGCATATTGGTAGAGGAATTTTTAAACTTTTTGTAGCTCTTCAAACTAGCACAGACTAGGCGAAGGCTAAAGGGCCATCTGACCTAGCCCAGGTTCAGATCCCAAAAAGAAAGAAAGAAAAATAAAACATAATAATCGATGAAGGAAAACTGTGAACTATAAACATGTTTCCAATTTCAGATTTTTAGAATATTGCCTAGACTTAGAACCTGGATTCTTGCACAACTAGACTAACACTTGCAGGACCACTCAGTCCCAGGCTTATGAAAGCCAAGACCAGTGGGAAGGGGGTTGGGGATTGTTGCTTGTGCCCCTACCGCCCCCCCACCCCTGCCCCTTTTAGAGCTAGTGTGTGTGAGAGAAGATATTAAAGAGGTATCTGTTGTTTGGCAATTTTGCTAAGTCTGTCTTCACTACTTCGACGCTGTGCATTTGCTAATTTGGAGGCCTGGCCATTGACAAGCTTGCTCCATACACCTGCAAGCAATTTGCCGGCTCCGGTACCAGAGAATTGCAGAGATGGCAGCTCGCACCTATTTGATTTTTTTTTTCCCTTTTCTCAATGCACAGCAAATTTGGCTTTCAGTGCGTTATCTCTTTTGTTAATGCAAAAAGATTCCCTGGGCGAAAAAATTGCTCATAATTACCAGAGAGATGGGGAAACTGCATTAGAATAAATAAACCTGAAATTACTGTAATTATGTTGTGTTTGATGGGCCCGGCTTGTAATCAAGAAGAGAATACAGTGAAATGATGCTGACCCTCTTGGGTTTGCAGCTGTACGCGCACTTTGGGGTCTTTTTTTGCAGAAAAGAGTCATTTTGATAATCATTAAGCTGTGTGTAACCTATTTCAGAAGTGTTTTAAAATGAGGTTCACATTTTTTGAACAAGGAGAAAAAAATCCCAAAATTGCATTTTGCCATTACAGACTCATACATAAGGAAAGGTTGTGTTTTCTAAGTGACAATTGTTAAGACATAATATTCGAAATCAGTATTTAATCATTATAATGAGGTATTGTTTAAATATAACCACCTTTAGATTATTCATAGTTTAATTAATATACTCATTATGAAAATCTTTGAATCAGATATTTGATGAACTACTTGTCAGTAACAAGGCAGCATTAATTAGGCCTATATTGAGATTAACATTTTTTAAAAGTGCAACCGCTTATAATTATAATAGCGCCTAACTAAAGACCGCCTTCGTTGAGCTAAAACTAATAATTTCTCTATTTGAACTGTTAGCAAGAGATTATTAAATTAGTATAAGCTAATATCTCAAAATATTAAAATCCGCTTGACCAAACAGATTTTGCCTGTGGCTTCAGGCCCTGGGTCCTGGCTGCTGCACCAGAGTTGGATGTGTGAGAGTAACCCACCAAAACCTCCCCTTTAGCAAAGTCACCTCTCCAGGGAAAACCAAATGCGGAAAGTTCCCTACCCCACGGCGGAACCCAGCCTGGGAAATCCTGTTCTCCCTCTCAGCTTTGAGGCCCGTCCGCTCCCGCCTCCGAGATTTGGCCTCCCGGGTTTGCATTCCGGGTTCTGGAGACCAGCGGGAGAGGAAATGCCCCAATCCCAAGCCCTGAAGGGGCCTCGAGGTCCCCGGCTCCATTCCCCACTATTTCCCCAGCTCCCTCCACCACCGCCCCTCCACCACATCCCCTCCCCTTCCCAAAGGGCGTCAGAAGAGCCTGGAGCATCTGCTCTTTCACCAGCACCAATTGAAAAATGGGTGCTTGTCACAACACAGATCACTGCCTTCCCCGCTTTGCTCCCCACCGCGCGCTGCAAAGGGCCCCCCAAAGGCGGAGGGCCAGCCCGTACGAAGCAGTGTCTCAAGGCGAGTGAGAGGGAAGCGGGAATCGCTCAAAGCAGCCCGTCGAGGCCCCCAGCTTCCCTGAGCTTCCTCCGCTTAGCTGTGGGGTCTGGGCTTGAGGTCGGGGTGAGACGCCGGGCCACTGGGTGGAGGGAGCCAATCTGGTTCTGGTTGATCGGAGTCCACTTTCTCCCGGAGAGAATTCATCGGAACGTTCCACTGGAGGTGCCCCCTTACTGACATGGCCTCAGGACTGTCGGGCTAGGGTTGGAGGGGTGGGTGGGAGGGAGGTCTTGACTCAGACGGCGCCTGGGTTCCAAGGAGTCGATGGAGTCCTCCTGCCCCTCCGTTGGCATTTCCATCTGGGCGCGGAAAGAAGCTGGTGATCATTATGAGGAAAGGGGCTTCTCGTGGTGGAGCCCAGTGAGTGGGAGTGACTGTGGAGGGGCCCAGGTGGCACCTTGGGACTGTCCCCCGGAGCTCACTGATCGACTGGGTATAGCCGGACAGACGAGTCCTTCCGGCCCCTTTCTGGTGTCTGGCCGCGTCTTTTCCGTGTGGGGATCGCGTGCCCAGCCTGCATGCAAAAGCCTTAAGGCCAGATCGCGGCGATCGCGAGGGGGGACAAAGTCCAGCATCCCTGCTTTCAGTCCTCTAGGCTTCCGGAGAGGTAACTGGGTGAGGGGTGGCACTCAGGTCTCCCAGCCTTTGAGCTCTGCTTTCATCTCCTCTCAGCCAGCCTTCACAGTCCCTTTGGTTCCTGAGACCCGGCTCCGTCACACAGCACCTGTTCCTGATGCCCCCTTCCAAGGACCCTTGCCAGACAGTCGCTGCCCACCCTTCTAACCCAGGTAGGGATCAGACCCCTTAGGGGTCGGAAGCAGAGCAAAATGAAAGGTCCCAAACGCTGGGGAGGGCCTTGCCCCTTATTCTGATATGTCCGGAGCCAGGAGTCGCTACCTCTGTCTGCCTTATCTGTCCCAAGAGTTGGAGGCCGGGCCCAGCCCACAGCACCCCTCACACAGCACACCAGACAGCAGTTCTTTCTCCAAACCATAATTTTACTGTCTCAAAGAAACTTTATAACTTATTTACAAAGTTCTTTTTTTCCCAAGATACAAAGCAATAAGTTAACATTCTCAATATAAAACTAAACTTTGACATAGAGAACACAAAACACGGTTGATTTCAATTGATCACATTTTCCAAATTTCACAAGTAAAATGTCAAGATTCTCATTTCACAAAGCATCAGATTTTACAGCCACACACAACAGAAACGGAAAAGCTAAGCTTGTGCAACATGTTTACGGAACAATAATAATAACAATAATAATTAACAACAATAATATGTACAGCGATTAGATCCTGCATTGGAGCCTGGGCGTCCAGGGCGCTGCCTGGCGTTTTTCTGTGGTCAAGCCTCTGGGGATTAGTGCTGCTTTTGTCTTTCTTTAAAGCTCACTGGCTTTAGGGCACTCGTATATGCCCGCCTGTTCTTTATCTTCACTGCCCATCGGTCCTCTCTCGCTCTCCCCAAGGAGGGAATTAGGATCTTCCTTCTTGTCCAGGAAAAGCGACCAAGTGTTTTTCCCGAGATGAGAAAATTGTGTTGGCTTCATTTCTTTTTTTTTTCTTTTAAAAATAATACGGAACATGTAAAAATGCAAAGCATTAAGTTCCAACTTCTCCATACCAGTGAAGTACAAAAGTTACTGTATAAGTTAAAAATCACCAGGTCCTCCCTATTCGTTTTTCCGGGTGCATTTGAAGTCATCGGTACTCTTGGACCAGGCGCTCCTTTCGCTCCACAGAACTGCGAATTGGCCAACGTTCACCCTCAGGCGAAGTCCATTTCTCAATAAATAAAACCCCCTCCCTCCAATTTCCCCCAATTCCGCAGCGAGCTACACAGATGGTTAGGCAGGCCCAGGAGAAGGTCCGAAAGGACCAAACGTCCCAGCACGCCGAAATGAGCGGCCTGCGGGCCCGAGCCTCTTCCGACCTGGTGACTTTTTTCAGAGGCCGCAGAATGAGGACAGCGGACAGACGAGGACCTCGACTTCGTCAGCGCACAGATACAGAGCGAAAGGAGACAAGAGACAGACAGAACAGAAAGGGAAAAAAAAGCTTTTGCTTTTTCTACATTGTTTTTTGTTTTTTGTGGGTTTGTGTTTTTTTTTTTTTTTTTTTTTTCCTGATAGTCCCACACAGCTGAAGGTCGACGAATCGGGTCCAGCTGGTTCATCTTGCTGCTCTGGCTGTCTCGGGAGCTTGTGCCTGCGCTCGGAGGCCGCTGTCTGCTGTCACTGCGCGGCGTAGGCCGGGGCGGGGGCGAGGGCGTGGGCGCCAGGAAGTCGCCGGTCCAGACCGCGCGGGGCTCCAAGGAGGTGGCGGGCGTCCTGCCTTCGCTGTTCCTTCTTCTTTGCCCCTGGGCCTTTCTGCAGGCCCAGGGCTTGCGGACAGGGTGGATGGACCGGGAGGCGGGAGGGGCCCGGGCCGGGGGGAGACGGGAAGGAGGCGGGAGGGTGCGGGCGGGCAACCTCACATGAGTTGGGGTTGCTGCATAGCTTCTTGGTGCGCCGAGGGGTACCATGACGTGTAGCTGGGTATGTAGGAACCCGCGCTGCCGCCCGAGCCCTTCCCAGATGACGAGTTGGGGTTCCAGCCGGGCGGCACTGGCGGGGAGCCGGCAGACAGTGCCCGGCCGTTGGCCAGCGCGCTACCCTCCAGAGCCGCCCCGCCCTGCTTCATCAGTTTCTTGAACTTGGAACGCTTGTTCTGGAACCAGATCTTGACCTGCAAGAGCGGACAATAATGTGACTCGGCTAGGTCCACTGTGCCTACCATGGTCTTCGGGGAGATAAGGGAGCCCTGTGGGACAGTGGAGAAAAGATCCCCCTCACCACCGCTGCGACTGGGCAGCTCCCTGCTGGAGGAGCAGAGCCCCACCACCACCTATAAAAACCAAAGCCTCTGAGGCCAGGCTGCCAGCCGCTGGTGGCCCGCAGGGACAAGCTCTCAGAGAGCCAAGGGGGCGTGGTGGTGAGGAGTTAGGGGGGATCCAGGCCTTCGTTTGTCAGGGACTCAGCTGGACCCTCGCAATTGTCTGGGGGAAGAAGCAGCGCCTGCACAACATCGAGTCTTCAAGTCCAATATGAACATCAATAAAAGAATCGAGTGGAGTTTTGAAAAGAGTGGAGGAAATTTATTTGTAATGCCACCTGCTTTCTCTTTGCTCCATCCTTTCTGCCCTTGAGTGAGTCGGGGGCTGATTGAGGAGGCCAAAAGGTTTTGTTAAACTTTTCATTTGGACTTACATCAACCTTTCCTTAGTGTCTGTTTGCTCTCCCCAGCTCTACTCCAAATCCCGGCCCAGACGTTGGAAACCTGATCAGAAAGCCCATGGGCTCCCCAGAGTCTTAGAGCAATCCCAGAAGGAAGGTCCCGTTCCTCCTCCAGGGTCTGGGACTTGGGAGGTGAGAATGCAGAGGAAAGGATTTCCCCTTACCCCAACCCGGTGAGGAGGAGGAGGAGGGAGACTGAGGCTCCAGCCCAGGCCCTGAGTGATTAGCCACACACTTTGAAGGCCAAGAAGGGATTAAGCCCAGCGTCTATTGTTCCAGTTGTTCGGGCACGTGTGACCTCAGAGTCCCCAAACAAAACGTCTAGGGAAATCCTTCCACGCCCTAATCAGATTGTCCAGGGAGTGAGGGCCCGGCGGCAGGCAGTGCGGAGTACAGAGTGCAGCGACAGAGCCCGGGCAGAGAGAACTAGCGAGGAAGGAGAGACGCAGGGAGAACCAGGGATGGGACAAGGACACACACACACACACACACACACACACACGCACGCACACACGCGCGCACACAGTCTCCGACCCTGAGGCCCAGAGAGCCAGAAATGAAGCTCCGGGCGCAGGCCGGCCGCGGGGAGCCCGCTTGGCAGAGGGGCAGCGGCAAGGTACCTGCGTCTGCGTGAGTCCCAAGGAGGCCGCGAGCTCCGCCCTCTCGGGCAGAGCTAGGTACTGAGTTTGCTGGAACCTCCGGTTCAAAGCCTGCAACTGCAAACTGGAATAAATCGTCCTGGGTTTGCGGATCTTTTTCCCCTTGCCATTGAAGCGCACTTCACCGCCTTCCACCACCGTGCTCTTCTCCGAGTCAGCCCCTGGAGGGACAGCAGAAGCGGGGGCTGCTATTAATGCAGGGACAGCCTTGAGGCGGGGAGCCGAGGGCGAGTGGCAACCGAGGGATGGCAGAGGCTGGGCCGACAGAGAACGCTCAAGAAAGTCCGAAAGCCAGGGAAGTGTCCCGTAAAGTCCGAGGGCCGGACCCGGGCCGCTGCAGGCGGACTGGGGCAGTTCCCAGGCGTGCAGTTCCTGCCTTTGCAGAGAAAGTTTGCTATTTTTGCAGGCGGTAGTTGAGGTTTAATTACCCTTAATTGCATACATTGTTTATAGCGCTACGCAATAAATAATTACTGCGACTGATACGTGCACATGTGGGTTTCTGTTTTCCAAAGGGGCATTGTGTGCTCCGCGCACAGAGCCGCCCAGAGGCTCAGACAGTGCCAGGGGACGCTCTCGGATTTATCCTTTGCTGCATAGTTGGGAGTTGGGTGGAATTTTTAAAAAAAATCTTTTCTTTGCTATGACAAGGATCCATACATAGATTGATACCCGAAACCTCCATTGCTCCGGCGCCCTCCCCACCCCCACTTCTCTCTCCATCTCTCCCTCCTCTCTCTCTCTTCCTCCCCCCCTTCCTCCCTCCCTTCCACCCTCCTTCTCCCTCTCTCCCTTCGTACCCTTTCCTCTCCCTCTCCCTGGCAAGCGCACGTACCTGGGTCCTCCAGGCGGCTCTGGGCGAGGCTGGCGCTGCCCGGGTAGGACTGCACCGAACTGATGTAGGGGCTGGACGCGTGGCTGCTGACCGAGTTGACGTAGGGGTAGCCCAGCGGTCGGGAGAAAGACGAGGCCGAGCTGTAGGCGCCGTCGGGCTGCGAATGGCCCGCCGAGTGTAAACAGTGCATGGAGTAGTGCCCGTGGGACATGGGAGAAGGAGACATTTGCTGGTTGGGTGGCCCAAACTCCATAAACACCGCCTTGCCCGACACGGGGCTGTTGAGACTTTCTGGCATGGTGGTCATGGTCATCTCTTCTCGCGGGGTCTGGGTGTGGGTCTCTCTCTCTCCTCTGCTTCCCTTTTGGGGGTCTCTGTGTTTCTCAGGACAGGAAGGAACCCAATTTAAGCGGAACAGGGGTTTTCACTTTCCATTCATAAGAAAATGGAGTTTGTCTCTTTGAAAAGTCTAAGCATGATGCTGCCGAGCTCCCCAAACTCGCTTCAAAGCTTTGACTCAGCCAAGGTCATAAATATTCATGAGCTGGCGGAGCTGATTGGTCCGCTGTCTTGCATAATCACCGGGGATTGGTCCGAGGCGCTCCGGCTCCGCTGGACTAGAGCGGGCGAGGCGGCCCGGCCTCGGGAGAAACGCGTCCACACTTCCCGGCCGGGGCTCCTCTGCAACAGAGCGCGCCGTGCGGAGCGCACAATGGGCTGCAGCGCCCGCGCCCGGACCTCAGCGGCCCGTGGCTCTTCGGCCTCCCACCTTCCCGGCGCGCCTAACTTCCCAGAAACCCACCAACCGCTCGGCGCAGCCGCCCTCCCCCCACTACTGTCCCCACCCTCCGCCCGCCCCCCACGCCGGGACAGGGGAACTGCTTCTCCTAGCCGCCGTCACCCGGTCCAGCGCTCAGCTTGGACGGCTCTGGAGTCCGGCCGCGGCCTGGGAGCGCGAAGTCGCGCACTGCGGGGAGGGGGGTGGTGGTGGCACCAGAGGCGGCCAGCAGAGCGCTGTCCTCTCGAGAGTCGTGTGCCTAGCCCAGCGCTCTCCTTGGCCGCGCCTCCCCGGCCGGGATCCTCTCTGCCACATCCCTGGGGTCGGGTCTGGGGCCCTCCGGGCGAACTCACTCACTCGGCCGCCGCGCCGCCGCCGCCGCTCCCTGGGGCCCGCTCGCATTGCTCCAGGCCCAGCTGGCCACTCCAGCTCCAGGCTGCACCGGTCTGATTAAAGCAGAGCGCGCGGAGAGCCAGGAACCCGCGCTTCTCCTCCCAGGAAAGGCGACCGCACCGCCCCCTCCCCCCAACACACACCCCCTCTTTCCCTCCCAACGTTCCTCCGCCTCCCTCTCCCCTCCACTCACTCTGCGCCGAATGCCCTGGACTCACTCGCCCCAAGGGCGCGGCGCTGAGTGGAGCCGAGGAGCCGGCGGGCTCAGTTCGGCTTGAGCCTCGGATACCGGGTGGTCATTTTCCGGCCTCCTGGGGTCTGGCAAGAGTACCCGGGGTTTACGAGTCCTGTGGACCCCGGAAACCCGCGGCAAAACCAGGCCAGTGGTAGGTTCGCAGATCTGGTTACAGACATGTCTCTCATTGTCGCCCAGGATCCTCCTCATCTCCAGTGGTCAAAGCGGGCGCCCCTGGGCCTGGGGGCAGGGCTGGCAAAAGCTGCCACGGCGCCTTCTGTCTTCTGGGGCGCTAGGTACAGAAAAGCGCACAAAAGCCCCCCGCCGCCGCCACCACACAGCCACCCCCACGAGGCGTGGCGCGCACCACGCTGTCTGCGAGGGGCTGTTGGTTCCCCATCCCGCCAGCCCCACGGTGAATCCCAAATTACTTTGTTAGGTAATTAGAAAGTGTTGATAATTATTTCTTTCATAATTTAGCGGTGTGACGGGAACGGGGAAATGATCTTGTGAAAGTTCACACGTGCAGATGTATTAGTTACTGATTCATTTGATTAAATGGTAGTCTCAAGTGCTCGGATCCGCAGCTGAAGGCGCCCCATTAGCATAACACTGATGTTTAATTTTCATACGCATAATTAGCCATATATTTAACACTAATAGCAACATGCAGCCTTTCAGCGTTAAACAGCCCGGGATTTGATCTGGCCTGAGCTGAACCTTCGGCGTTGCACCTTCCCCTATCTGGAGTGCGAAATGATCACAGGACAAACCTCTGTTCTGTAATCAAGCACATTTTGGCAGAGGGAACACCAATAAAAATGAACATTCAAAACAAATTACATCGGTGCTGTCGTTACAGATATTAGTGGAAGGGGCTTCTCTCTTTTTTAACTTCCGTAGCCGCAGCTGCTGCCCGTGGAATTCCTCTCCTTTGGTTTAAGGGCATAATATTGGGGGTAGCAATATTTCAGGCAGCGTGGTTGGAGCAAAAAGGAAAACAAAAGCAAAAAAAAAAAAATCCTTCAAACCAATAACTGGTTTGCCAACGTTTAGAAAGATTTTTTTCCCCCTTAATCACAGAACCACAGGGCGATGCTTTGTAGTAACAACCAGTTAATGACTCCGCCACCAGACTACTCCTGGAGCCGCTCGACTCCTCTTGATTTCCGTGTTGCACTTGTGGTTTTAATTGCTCCTTCCTAGCGCCTGTTTTGGGGTGCGGTGCGGTGCGGTGCGTTCTGCACAGCAGCACGGATGCCGCCCGGGCCCCTGGTCTCTTGCGCGCACCTCTAGCGGGCCCTGCCCACGTAAGTGATCGCCGCGGCTGGCTCCGGGTCGGGGTGGGGACCGAGGGAAGTGGCTGTTGACTTCTGGCGCTCAGGGCTATACGCGAGGAAACCCGACGGCTGGGCGGCCCGTGGCCAGTTTATGCCAGAGAACTGTAAGATGGGGGGAGGGGAGAGAGGCAGCCACGGGTCGCGACTGTCGTCTACAGGGCTCTCTGTCCACATCTGGAAGGAGAAATACAAGCCTTTCCAGTGCAGAGGACCGGGCTGGCTCCGTGGAACAAAGGACGCGGTCCCTCGGGAAACGGCTTCAGAGCCTTGTTTATTTTAGAAATGAATTATATGTGGGCGAGAAAGTGTCTATACTCGGGGATTATTTCTAAGCCCCAGAGAAGCAGGTCCAGGGAGGTGCGGCCGAGCCGGGGCCCTTTGGGCACTGAGACACCTGGCCTGGAGCAGTTTCGCAGTGTGCGACCTTCTCTCCACTTGGTGAGCCCAGAGTGGATCCCTCCCACCGCACCGCACCCCACCCCCGTTGCTAAGACGACACCTGTTCTGAAACGCTGGTTTGCTTAGATCTTTACCGGTCCCAATTCCGACAGGAAACAAAACTCTACGTTTATCCTGAGAGTCCCGGATTCCGAGTAGAACCAGTGGGAGACACCGCAGGACCCGAGTCCGGTGGTGTCAGCAGTAGCCACGCGTTGGCTGAAACCCCGGCCGCCCCCGGGGTGAGGTCTGGGGCCAGTTCAACTGGAAGGTGATGGTGGTGGTGGTGGTGGTGCACAAGGTATTTTTAAAATCTTTATAACTTCAAGTTCAAAGCATGTTAAACGGAGTTCGCTCTAAATCAAGTTTGTTTCCTACGGAGCTGCTGACATTGGCTGTGCTGGTATATATACATATACGTGGGTATCATGTTTAAACTAGGCTTAAACTAGTTACTTTAATAAATAGGATTATAAACCTGTCCCATAAATACTTCCACCTCAGAATAATTGCTGCACAAACAGCATGTTATCCCAGTGGTTGGTAAAACCCTGTGGTCCTAATAAAATTATTCTTGGGGAACTTGGAGTAAACTGATCAGTAGATAAGATAAGCGGCAAACCTTGCAATCTCATTGCTCTAGGAGAGAAGTGAAATCATTATCTGGCAAACCTCTCCCAAGGCCATTTGGGCCGAGTTCTTTCCTGGAGAATGATTGTTCCAGAGCAGCAGTCTCATCTCTAGGCCTTTGCTTGGACAATGTCTCAAGAACTCTGAAAAGTTTTTCTGTGGGCTTTGTAAATCTTCAGCCCTTCCCTCACCTTTTCCAGTTCTCAGATCCACTTGAATTGGAATCACCTCTGTCCAAATTCTCCATGCCTGAGCGCAGAGAAAGGGGGCTGGAAGGGTTGGAGGATGCCCAAGAGAATCCACACTCAGGGAAAAGCTTGAACTAGCCACTTCTCCAAGGGCACTTACTGACTGTCCTGTTTCCTATCTCTTCTCCCTACACTCTGTCACAAAGACAGCTGCCTCTTGGGTCCTGATCACAGAGACCACCTGTCATGGCAACTACAGGTGCTTGCATTTCCTTGGTGCTCTCCAGCCCAAGCTATATTTAGTGCCTGGCAACTTTGTAAAACCCGCTTCAGTAGAAACAAAAGTTAGCACAACTCCTGACTGCCTGGACACCCTCACAGAAGTTGTTTCTAAAACCATAATCAGAGGGGGGCTATTCTCTATGTGCCTACTGGATGCCCCAGCACCTCTTCACCTGAGCCCAGGGGCGAACAGGTGCTGGGGGGTGTAGTTCCTGCTGAGGAAGAGAGGGTATTCTGATCAGAATGGGCCTTTGGGAAATGTGGAATGTGAGTGCTTGGATTTTCTGCTTCTGAAGCTGGTGGAGCTTCCGGCTTGCCAGTTCCAATCCCAGCTAACTTGGCTCTTGCCCTCAAAAGTTACCATATCTTCTTTTCCTAGAATCTTCTGGGTCTCTAGCAGGAGAGCACAGTCCAAAGGGGTGGATACGGGGAGAGGTCAGCTTAGGCGCTAGACAGCCGGACAGTGTTCACATCTGGATGGGGAGGGGGCAATGTTTGAATTTCTAGTGCAACAGACGTGTGTGTGTGTGTGTGTGTGTGTGTGTGACAGAGAAAGAGAGATATGGGGGGACGAGAGGGTCCCTCAAAAGTAACCTCAGGGATGGCTGCTTGGGGCAGGATGAGGGATGTGAGGAAGAGACAGAAGAGCCACAGGGAACCAGGAAAGCCATGTGTGTAGACTGATAAAGCACTGTGGAAGCCAGACGCAAGGTTCACAGGCAAGGAAATATGTGTAACCAACCCCACGGTTTGCTAGCTAATCTTTTCATCCCAAAGCAGCTATGAAGGGAAAAGAATTGGAAGGGCTAGTGCCAATGTGGGACCCACAAGGGGAAAAGAAGAGACTTCTAAAAAATTCCCAGCTAACATCTGGGCTCATTCTTTCCCCCAACCGCAGATGTGAAAAGTTCAGAGACTCAAAAATTAACCAGCCACCCTCTCCCTCTAGTATCTGTCAGAGGCGCAAGGACAACAGACACAATGGGCTTAGGAGGAGAAAGCTTTTACTTGGGTATCAAGGCAAGGGGAAGAGAAAACCACGCATCTCTAGAAATCCTTCGCCTTCCAAACTGGGGCCTCCCCATTTCCCCCCAGAATCATTTCCCACGGTGGGAAGGCGAGCCCGCCCTCTCTCCGAAGCCCGGAGGCCAAGGCCGGGCTCCCCACCGGGTTTTTCCAAGACGAGAAGCTAGGTTGGTTACTGCGGGACCTCCCGTTTTGCCCGTGTCTTCTAAAAATTCTCCAGCTGGATTTCGGCAATTTAGGATAAAAAGCGCCCGGCCTCTGCGACCAGCGGGCGGCTCCTCAGGCCTCGTGGGGCAGTTTGGTCAGGATCTGCACGCCCCCCGACGTGACGAGAACTGTGTGCTCGAACTGGGCGGACCTGAAACACACACCGCAGCGGTCAGAAGGCGCGAGAGCGCCCGCGGGGCGGGGAACAGCAGCTCGCGGAAGCCGTCGGACCATTTCTCCCTTCCCATAGCATCTCAAAGCAGTGGCACCGAAAGCAAACACCTTTGATTGTCCAGGGAGACCACAGTCCAGGCGTCTTCCAGGACTTTAAATTCAGGAGATCCCTCGGTTATGATTGGCTCTGTAAGAGGGAAAATATTTACTGCAGTGATCTAATCACATTCTTGTCAAATATTGTTCCGGCTGATTACGAAAAAGAGAAGGTTCTCCTCCCCTCCCCCCAAGTGCTTCCCCCACGGGTTCCTGTTGTCATCTCACAAGGGCTGATAATTGATGTTGCTTACATAGTATATTACAAACTAAACAGTAGGAAGAGGAAACACTACCGCATTCAAAAATGTATGAAGTTGTCTCCTTCGTAATTTTTTTAAGAAAAAAAGGGCATTTTAATCAAGCCTTAATTAGGACCCCGTGGATAATAACCACCCAAACACCAGTCCCTCTTATAAATACCAGTCAGTTTTTTAAAATATTTGAATTTTTAAAACATGCTTAAAATGTTCATTAATCAGCAAATAAC